CAAACTTTCATTAGCAATATCATGACCAAGAGTTTTTAAGGCCTGGTAGTTTTCATTGTAAACTGAGAGAAATTTCCGCAATTGTTTGACAGTAGGCCTAGTAAGTTGAGGCAAATCTAAGATATTGTTAGTATGAAGAGTGATTAGCAGCCTTGTATTGTGGTATCTATCTATCAGAGATTGCCATGCTATAGCATAGTTCGCAGCGTTAAGAGACAAAGATTTCACCAAACCCAATGGCTCATCTGAGAGACAGGATAGCAAATATGTAAATTTTTCTATGTTACTGAGTGACTCATTAGTATGAACTGCATTTTCAAATATGCTATGAAATGGCATCAACTGGTCTGGTTGACCAGAGAATTTACCTAAATCCAATGAAGGCAATTTTATTGTCGGAGGTACAGCCACAGCTTGTGCTGTTGAACTAGCGGTGGACTGATTCAATTGCTCAGATACTGCAGGTGTAGGTATTAATGTGCTACATAAGCTACTAATATTTATGTACAGGTCAGATATTTTATCTTGAAGTTCGGTTACCTTTTCATCTACGATGTCTTCAGGTAGGGGAGTTGTAGAGAACAACTTATTAACAATTTTTTCAAATTCTGCATGTTTTTGAGAAGCTGCAGTTGAAAGTAACTTTATCCTATTTATTTGTTGATCATTTAAAGATTCAAGGGCTTGAACAGTACTTAATGTTGTAACTTGCTTGTCAATACTACTAAGTCTTTGTTCAATAAGTTGACTTTGCTTGACAAAAGATAAAAATCTCATTTTGGAATAGAATAGTCAAACACACAATAAAACTCAAAAGGTCTGTATAAACTCCACCTTGGAATTTATAAATTAAAGTTATTTCTTCACTAGAAATTTCAATAACTTATTTTGCAAAGTATTTGCAATATAAAATCACACTAAATTATTTACATTTTAATTTTCTTTCCAGAAGTTCCAGAAGTATCATTTAATACAATAATGATCTATCGACAATATTACTGTACAAAGCAATCAGCTGTCTTCGTGATAGATGAGAATCAATAACATTTGTAGATAATCAGAACAAGGAAAGGAAGGATATTTATTTCTGGCTACACAATGAATATCCTGGAATGCAAACAGAATACTGAGAGGGGAAGGGGGGTATGTCTGCTAGAGATAAGGCTCATGAAATGGCTGAGATATAATCATGAATATTTAAAATTGGACATGAAACTAGACTTTCACTTTTGTGCATGTTTGGAAATGAAATATGAAAAATCATCAAACTTAAATATGTTTCATTTTGAAAATATATAGTACAATGTCCTATGATTTAAAAAAATCAATAAAACAACACTGGCTTATTTAATAAATGTTCACAAATTATAAAAATGTGTTTGTGATAAAATAAAAAATGTATTTCACAATGAAATTAAATCTTAACAATTCTTTAAATATTTCCAACGCACTGAGTTTATCCGTCCGGCTCGAAGTACCAAAAATGTGGGGAATTTATATTAATTAGAAAGCAATGTGGACTGTATTATAGTAATTTTGAATTGGATACACTAACCTTTTGTTATTAAACTGATGCGTAGACTGGGGGCCCCCTTTGATGAATCCTGAAATGCTATAATGTTGATAAGTTCACTTTTTCTCACTATATGATGTTAAAAAACACTTCAATTGTCTTTATAATAAGTTATAAGCCAGCGCTAAATATTTATGTTGGTATAGAGGTTTATGGTATTTGAAAATGTAGGAGAAAAGGCATGTTAAGTCCTCATAGCAACAGGACTTGCCCAAGAGTGTGCCACTACTCTACTGAAGGAAGGAGTTGGTCATGTGATACATATCAGTGACCAATCAGAGAGCTAGTCTTGAAACCATTGGGGTTTGAAGATACTGATGCACTCTATGAGGAAAACATTTAACTATTTGAAATGGTATTTAAATGGAGATTGTGGTGAAATCAGTTACATATTATTAGAGTGCATTAAAATTAAAAATTAATATAAGAATACTTAGAACAAAACAGTGTATATATATTTGACAGGCCCATTAATTAATAAAATCGGTCCAGTAAAACTCCAGATTTAGTTGTACAAAGATTTTTAAAACTGAATTAGGCCTATATATAAGTTAGAATAGATAATTTCAACGAATGAAAAAAAAAAAATAAGTTAAGTTAACATAGAAGAGTAATTTTCTAACAGTACATGTTAGTTCTTTAATCATACAAAACATATATTTATCTATTTATTCATGAAAGGGTAAATTCTCCGAAACATGGCGCAGGATAGGAACGCCAAATGCCACAATACCAAAACTATCTATCTGATCAAGCGCGCAAACTGATGGTTTATCCATTCATTCTCTAGTTGGATAGTTTATCTGTCTCCGGAAGCAGCACGGACGCCCCCCACCCCACTACACTAAAAACCATCGGATGAATCATCCATCTGAAGACTATCGCCACTATCGGATGAAACATCAGATGGTTGAAATCAGTCGTTTGCCCCATCACTACCCCAGCCCCCCTTCTCACTGAGGGGTATTCCATACCCCCAGACCCCCCCCCCCCCCCGGCAGTCCGAGTTAGCCCCCCCCCCATTTTGGAGCCTAGAGCTGCCTATGTATTTAATACTAGAGGGGTTACAATTAATCCGACTAGAAGTGTACAAATCCCACCTACAGACTGTAGTAGGCCTACCCTACATATTCTTGGATAAGATAAGACAAGACTAATAATTAATTATTAACCCTCCCAGTGTTACTTGACGAAAATTCGACAAGCAGCACACTTTGTGTAGTGTTACTTGTCGATTTTTCGACACGCAGACATCGTTTACGGCGAAGGCTCTATGACTGACTGAATCGGATTGAACTGGATCGAGTTAGGTATCGTTCTTTCCGTAATATTCTAAGCTTTCTCCAGAGGTCTGTCTCTAAGCGCTATTCATTTTAGTTCCGAAAATATTGTAGCAGACAGCTGACGTGCGTGTATTTGTAAACAGCTAGGTTCCCCCGGACCGATGACTGATGTGTTTTATTACGTTTATCATTGTTTTAGTGTTAAAAATCAAAAGTAGTGATATACGTGGTGCATTATAAGAAGATTTAAGTGGTTTTGAAGTGCTGGTTGATGATCCTGAAGAAGTAGGTAGTGATATTGATGTAAATTATCAGCCAGATTCCTAGCTATGGTTAGGCTATGCATTCTTAGCTAAACGCTATGTACTGAAATCAGTTTTTTGCCCATAACTTATTTATTTGCAAATCTACTTCCTTATACAGTCTAACCTTGATATAACGAACCTCGATACAACGAATTCCTTGATATAACGAATTTTTTTAAATCCCCTAGAACTCTCCATAAGACACAATGTATATTTTACCTCTACATAACGAACAAACCATAACAACGACCTTGATTTAACGAATTTTTCGTGATTTCGGCTAAAATAACACACCTCAATATAGCGAATTTATCATTGTCAGAACCTCTACATTGCGAATTTAACCTCTGCATAACGAATTGTCTACGACTTTCCCTCGATATAACAAATCCCCCACCCCTTTATTGTTTTGAAAAATCTGTTTCTTTATCAAATGAAATGGAAAGGTGACGTCATCGCTTGCGCTAACATTTGTCTGCTCCGTTTTACGTGGTTTTACACATCTCTGTCTAATTTCGCTGCGCGCGCTATGTTGCAACTGAGAACTGATTTCATTCTCTGAGGACTGATGACGACGTAATGTTTAGTAAGCTGTGATTGGGCGATAAGTAACTATGGTGAATTGTACAGTTTTTGGATGAAGAGAAACCTAAGAAAGAATATAAAAACAAAACCAAAGAGAAAGAATAGCAACATCGTTATTTTAACATTCCCTTTTCGAGTGTTTTTATTATCTTTAAGTTGGCTATGATTATACACTTTTATAATGCCTTATCTAATAATTTACTGTATTGTTTTCAATACGATTTGTTTCAACTAGCAACACCAATGCTATAGTTAATGATTATTATTGACATTCCTCTGTTGTGATAAATCAGTACTGTACTAAGTAGCCTACCGGACTATCACGAGCAGTAGCTTACAAAACTTTCTACTACTGTTTTGTTTTGTTCTTTACATGGTTTATGACTACGCAATACAGTGTTTGGCTAGGTTTTAGGAGGGTTAGAACAAGCTGTGATTTTAAACTTACAGTTTTTTAACCTGTACCAAGGTCAATGCCATTGTCATGATTGCGCAATATTCAAGATCCCTCCCCTTTATTATGCCGGATAATTTAGGTTCTACTGTACAATGTAAACACTGTACTGTAAAGTATTGTAGCCTATGCTACTTTAATTGTGTTTTAATGACGTCTAATCCCGACCTATATTGACCGACGCTAGTTCTGAACCTCGACTTAGCGAAATTCCTGCAAACATAACCTCTATATAACGAACCTCGTTTTAACGAAACCCTTGATATAACGAATATTCAGTTCGGTCCCTTCAGATTCGTTATACTGAGGTTGGACTGTATTATTATATATTTGTAATCCTCATAAAATTTAGAACAAAGTGGCTATTTTCAAATATTTATAGGCCTATAATTTATACAATTTCATTGAGCGCGAACTTATTTTTTTTTTGAAAATTTTCGAAATTATATTTTTTTTACCTAAAATTTTTTTTTTTTTTTTAATGTTCCTTATGTTTTATATATAATATTGAAGCCCATGATTTTCCAAACAAAATGGTATATAGAACATTAGAATTAACATTGTTTTAAGCTTCTCAGATCCGTTTTAATAAAACCTTGCAAATGCGCCAAAAAAAGGTGGACATTAAGGCCTAAACTATGGACACTTTGAGGGTTAATCAAAACATACAGATAACCTATATTATCTACCTGCACTTTACTATGTAGGCCTAGTGAAAGAAAGTTGCACTTAAGACAGTTAACTATATTTTTTTGGAATCATAAATTAAATATTATAAGTTAAAGTGTAGTTAAACAAACCTTCAAATACTCCTACAAAAACAAAGTAGATGTCTTTAATTACACAACAGCACTTTTGTTTTTGTTTCATTTCGATTTGATTGGTAATGGTAGGTCGGTTCGGGTCGGGTTCGGCGCGGTACGGTGGTAGTTGGTACGGAACGGACCACACCGACGGTCACTCAACTCAACTCCCTCACACACTTCTCTTGAGTCCTGACAACCCGACGCTAAGCCAACGGCATAATTTCTATTTCAGCTGGAGTTTTTTAATACGGACAAAATAACAGTTAAAATACCCCCGCCGCAGCAAACCTGCAGACTAAACGAATTTCAACTTGTCTGATTATATTTTTACTAAAATATTTAAATAAATGAGACATTTTATACCCTATTTAAATAACATTAGATTTAAAGTGTGCTTAGGTTTGCTGCTACGGGGAAGGTAAAAAGTGTTTTTGACCATACGTCAATTGTGTAGGATGAAATGAATAAATTTGTCAAATGTTATCAATATAGGCTATATCATAGATAAAACATACTCGTGTTGGTTAGTCTATGGCTATATCCATAAACAAGTAAACTACAACAATTTTCATTTTCTCCATAAGAATAACATAGGAATTTTAAATTACACTATTTTTTAATTTTCTCCGTGACCATTAGGCATACAACAGCGCTCACACACACACACACACACAAATATATATATATATATATATATATGCGTGTGTGTGTATGTGTGTCCGTTAGCACGATAACTCGAGCAGAAATGATCCGATTTTGATGAAATTTGGTACAAACGTGTAAACCTACGTTTATTCGAACGAGTTCGCGAACCAGCATGACGGACTATGGGAGCGGGGGTTTATAGGGGGTTTCATGGGGGTAAAAATCGGTTTTTCCCATTTTTCACCCTAAAAACACAAAATTTCACAATTTCTTTCCAAACCATTTTGTAGAGCTTAAAAAAACAAATAATTTAGTATATTGAATCGTTATTATGCGCCTAATGGTTGCGGAGAGAATTCCAAAAAATTTTAAATTTAAAACTCCCATGTTATTCTTATGAAGAATTAGTCAACTGTTGTAGTTTGCTTGTTTATGAACAAATTTTGATACAATTTGAAAATTACGTTAATTTCTTACACTACAGTACTACGGTATTACCATTTTATAACAAAAAATACCTGTTTACACTCCCTGCAGCAAACCTAAGTTCTAGTTAAACTAATTCTATTGAAATCTATATTATCTATAAAAGAGGAACTATGTATGTGTGTGTATATATATATATATATATGTGTATATACGTTATGGACTCCGAAACAACTCCACAGATTGTAATGAAACTTTCAGGCATTAATAAGCATCTTTCAAGGATGGTTCGAGTGAAGTTTGATGCAGATCCGTCAAAAGGGCTCTGCCCCAGAGGGTTTTAAGTGGGCCAATGTCAGACTTTTTGATCTACAATTTTTTTTTTTTTTAACAAGTATTTATTTACAATCTATTCTATACTAGAACAATAAGTAAATTTATTAACCATTTTAACATGGGTTAGTTTCACTCCATCAAGTGCACTAACATACAAAAACTTTTTAAAAATTTAACTAAAAACGATTTGGAAGGTCTATTGGATTAACTCTTTTGAGCCTATATGTAGCTTCACTATTGTCGAGGAGGTTAACTGCCAGGAAATTTGGATGGATTTCTAATTTTCTTTGGTACTTTTCACTTCGTTTTTTTTATTTCTTCTTTAACATAGGGTAATTTTGTATCTTGATGAATTACTTTATCTGTGACAAACTAAGGTGCTTGTAAAATTTTTCTCAGTGTTTTCGATTGAAACCTTTGAACTATTTCTATGTTTGAGTTGGAAGGGGTTCCCCAGAGTTGGATACCGTAGGTCCAAATAGGTTTCAATATAATTTTGTATAAAAGTAATTTATTTTCAACAGATAATTTTGAATTTCGACCAATGAGCCAATTTAGTTTGTTTGTTTTTAAATTTAGATGAAGTCGTTTGTTCCAAATGTGTGAATGCCATGTAAGCCGTCTGTCGAGATGCATACCAAGGTACTTAACTTCGTTGGATTGTGGAAGCATGACATTATTCAATGTTACTGGGGGACAAGTTCTTGTAGACATAGTAAATGTAACTTGGACGGATTTTGTTTCATTTACTTTAATTTTCCAATTCTGTAGCCACTGAGACAAATCGTCTAATGCAGCCTGAAGGTTTCATGATGCCAGAATAGGATCCTGATTTGATGATAAAAAAACAGTGTCGTCTGCAAATGTTGCAACCGTAATACCTTAATACCCTGAGTACTTGGAAGGTCATAAGTGAACAAAATATACAAAATAGGTCCAAGAACACTGCCTTGTGGTACACCTGATTCAATTTCATGCACATCTGTAACTATATCTTGATATTTAATTTGAAAAAAGCGTTTGGACAAATACGATTTCAACACTCCATAGTATGTATGGGGCAGCAAAGTTTTAATTTTGAACAACAATCCTGTGTGCCAGACTTTGTCAAACGCCTGGGCTACGTCCAAAAAAGCAGATGAACAAAAACGTTTATTTTCAAGATCTTCCTTGATTACATTCACTATTCTATGCACTTGCTCAATGGTGAAATGCCTTCGGCGGAATCCAAACTGATGGGAAGGCATCAATTCTTTTTCATCAATTATAATTTGGAGTCTTTTAAAAAAAAGTTTTTCAAAAACTTTAGAAACCACAGGAAGAAGAAATATAGGCCGATACGAGGATGCTTGATTTAAAGGTTTACCAGGTTTCGGAATAACAACAATTTGTGAAACCTTCCACTGTATTGGGAAGTATTCAAGGTGTAAAACTGCATTGAAAAGTACTGTAAGGAAAACTATTCCTTTTCTAGGAAGCTCTTTCAACACTTTACCTGTTATCAGATCATAACTGGGGGCTTTTTTGCCGTTTAAATCGTCTTTTATTACTTTAGCTACTTCAGATGGTGTGAACAATTTTATTGGTAAATCAAGTTGATTTGGAGAATCGAGGAATTCCAAAATTTCTTGTTCAACATTTGAATTAATATTATATGGCTTGAACACTTCCTTGAAGTATGAAGCAAATACATCTGCTTTCTCGATGTTGTTTTTGGCCCAAGAACCGTCTTCTTTTAGAATAGGTGGAATGCAAATTTGTGGACGTTTTAAGTTTTTTGTAACTTTTCAAAGGGAGTAGTCACTAGCTTCAGATGGAGAAAGGTTTGATGTGAAATCTTGATGATAAAAAGACCATAAAATTCGTTAAAAATATGAATTCAATTATTTAAAAAATGGCGGCCATTTTCCAAAATGGCAGCAAACTTGAAAAGTGGAAAACTGTTTATTTTATGGTCTTTATGGAATGTGGGTGTAATTTTAAGACTTATTTACTCTTCGCATTTTCGCTATAAACGTACTTGTTTAGGAGCTACATGATGTAAAATGTACACCGGAAGTCATTTTTCCATAGGCTGTAACTCCTAAACGAGTGGGTTTATCGAAAAAATGTCAAGGATAAAAAAGTTTTTAAATTGCATGTTCTATCCGAAAACATAATAAAATATAGGGTGTTCCATAAGAAATTTCAAAGTTTGCCGCCATTTTGGAAAATGGCGGCTGAATTTCGGAAAAATAGAATCATATTTTTAACTGCCACCAAAAATAAAGGGATGTCCCCCATTTAAAGTTTTCTCTAATTCTTACCGTTTCCGATATCCCAATGGTGGCCTCCTTGAGTTGATCACCCTGTATATAATACGTGAAGCCGTATTTTATTAACGCAACTCCTCCCTTATTTGTGGACCAATTTCAACGTTTAAGGTGTCAAAAGATTCGTCTCAATATGTAGTTTTGCAATAAGGTTTTAGAATTTAAAAATTCTTACTCTTAAGGGCGTGAGACCCTCTCAAAGGTCGGGTTATCCCCATAAGAAATACACAGAACAAATTTAAAAACAAAAAACAGCTGTTTATAAAAAGAAACTCATTAGTTTTTTTGGGAGTAAATATTAATGTTTTAGTACCTATTCAGTAGGTTAAGACCAAGTTAAACAGTTAATCAGTTTTGTTGGAAGAACGGAAAATGTCTGAAGTTCAAAGAAGAAATTTTGAAAACGGAAGGAGGAGACAATTAATAATAAGGTATCTTATGCGTATAAGGAGAGTAGAGAAAGAGAGGCCTGGTTTAACAGATACACATCCATAAAATACACATTCACTTGGTGAGATGAATAATATTTGTTCTGCTATGCAACTTACTTTGGAAGTGAAAAAATATACGAAGCACATAGTGTTGTCACGATGGTAAAATAAAGTTGCCTAATGTCAGATCAAATTAATGCATGCGAGAAATGTTTACTTCTGACACTGACAGATCTCAAAAAATTTAGTACAAACAATAATAATGCCTTGACTATGATAAGTTCAAGTAGTAAGATTATACCAAATCTTGGTGGACCTTATGTTTTTATTGTAAACTTTTGTATTAGGTACGTGCTCTACTTTAATTGAGGAAAAAACACAAATGGATGGATTGTTTATTTCTAGGTTATGTTGCCAGTTCCTTGGACAAACTTATACAAAGTTTTTTTACTGAATTTTAGTAGTAATATTAGACATAAGTGAAGGAATTAGTGTTTATGTATTCAACGATCGAGTAGTTACAGTCAAGTTTATTTTTATGATTCACAAGAGGCAAATAATATACGCTGTTCAAAAAGAGAAAATGAAAATTGCTATCCAAATCTTATAGCTACAAGAGTTAATATCCAACCTATTTCGAAAAATGAATCCATACTTTCAAGACTTTAGGACAGGTATTAAGAGAAACCCCACTGAACAACGTGAGAACGTTCTGATGCGGGGCATATTCTGTGACTAACACACAACACATTAACAAACTATCAATGGTGTTGCTGCTTTAGCCTATTCAAAGCAGATTATGGCTTTCCAGCTGATAACCTAGAGTTTGTGAGTAAAAAATTGAGCACATTAAATGGTTGATAACTCCACTTTTCAGGATTCTCTACGGAGAAAATTTGTTTGATTAGGGGGATGCCTAGGCAACAGTTTTCATCAATTCTCAACGCTGGAAAAACTTTGTTGCAACATGTTTGCTCGAATTGAAGCAGATCGATTAGCATTCATTAGAAGTTATCAGTTAAAACTACAGTTATCAGAAATAATGTAGGTGAACCTTGACGACACAAATAGAGATATTTAAAATTAGTTTCTAACATGTGTTTAAACAACACTAAGCTGTAACTAGAATTACTCGAATTTAAGCATAACATTTTCCTCGGTGTTGTGTTTCATACTATGCGGCTCATTGAGCCGCACGGGTTCTCTAGTAGTTTATATTTGGGGTGCACCTATGGAATAATTAGATACAGACTATTGACAAGTACCATAAACATTTATTGAGTTTAGTGAAATGCTCAAACATAACATATTGGGTCCTTTAACGTTTCTAAATACAATACTTATATTATAACATATTTATATATACAGAACATATATTTTGTGATTCAAATGTTACAAGAAATTACTAATGATAAAATTAATTAATAACTCTTTTGAAAGATAAAGTGATAGCAAACACAAGTTTTTTATGCACATGTCATAACAACATGTTATTAACATAGGCCTACAACTGAATACTGGCTTTAAAAATCTTTTACATCAAGCAAATACTAACATTACTAGGAATGAATATATATTGAAATGAGTTAACAAAGAATGGATTTAGTTATGGAGGATGACGTCATACGCTTGAAAGATTTGAGGGGCAACATCAGGTGCTCTTGACTTCAGAGAGAGAGTAACATTTGGATTTCCAGGCTGCACCTTGAGCTCATTGAGGACCCATATACCATTGGTAAGTTTAAGAGACTGGTACAGCATGTCCTGTCCCTCCACATTCCGTTTAGCAATAGTGAACACATTATTCTGTTGCATCTTCTGCACAATTGCGTCAGCATTGCACTGGACATTAGTTAGAGTGTACTGAACTTCATTCTGTGCTGGTATATCTTTCCATGTTGACAAAAATACTCTTTTGTCCATCTGACCATCCTCCACAAAGTAAACATTCATTGGAACGAGGCAAGCGTAGTAAAATACATCGATGTTATTTTTTATTGCAACTTGCAGGTTGTTTAGAGGATCCATCCTTTGAACAGCTCCTGTGGTAGCCAAGGATAGAGAACATTCATGAGAAACCCCAGGAGGTAGTGGGGTTAGTACCTGTAGTGGCCTTGCAGGAGTCAAACCAAAACTGTTCTTGTTCAGCTGAATGGCAAATCCGGCCATTGGCTGCATAGCTTTGTTGGTAAAAGTAAAGTCCATACTAATCTGTCCGTTTTTACGAGAGAATGTACCCCAAATGTCCATACCTTTGCCTTTGTCAGCAGGTAACCAGTTTACTTTTGGGGCCACATACATTGTAGGCCCTGCTGTGAAACCAAAGATGTCACCTAACAACCCTGTAGTGGATTGAGATGCTCCAGTACTCTGCACGCTGACGTCCCCTCCAAGCAGTGAATCCAAACCTCCTCCTAATAGGTCTATTGCTGGAGCTGGAGTAGGATTTGCAGTAGTCCCTCCTCCGATATCCATACTGAGAAGATCTCCAATGAGGGAATCTTGAGAAGGAATTACAGATGCTTCTTGAGGAGGGTTTACTGTTTCTTGTGACCCTGCTCTGGCAGGAAGTGATTTTCTCAATCCTGCTCTACCCTCAACAAACGCTGATGGTGGTTTGTGATATACAGAGGCCAAACTTGAAATGTGACAAATCAGTTCATCTAGGAGAGTGGGCTCAAGTAAATCTGTTTCTTCAGAAATCAATGGCTTTTCAGCAAGAACAACTTCCTTAGCCGCTGCAGGATCAGTTGAGAGAAGTCGCCAGTAGATGAAGCCTCTATCTCGAAGGTCAGGGTTATCTGAGTCTTGTGTGGCTAAGCTAAGTACTTGCTGAACTAATTCTTGAGTATCTGTCGGTCGTTTCAAGAACAACTTAACTATAGCTGTAAGCAACTGGAGTTGAACTTGAGTGTTTTCATCATGGAATCCTTCTAAAAAGCTTTCCAACAGTTCATCAGCATTATCAATTCTTTCAGCATATTCTCCGATGATCCAAATCATTGAAGCTCTAGCTTCAGGCTCATCGAGTGTGTCCAGATTTTCACAAAGAGTCGAAATTATACTCTCGTATTTGTTGGGGTACTTTCTGAAAATATCTTTTATTACAACAATGGCTTCTTGTACAACATAGTTGACTTTTGTCTGAATCAGATCTAAAAGCGTTGAAACACATCGTTCTGCGGACTGTTCAACTTTGATGGCACAACGGCCGATGGCTCTAACAGCTTTTCTGACAAAGTCAACGTCAACTTCAGTAGCATATTCTTTCAACTCAGACAACACTTGAGCTATGTTGGCTTGGGATGCTAAACGAATCATTATGTCCAATTTTTCCAATTTCACATAAATGGGATCATTATACTTTACAAAGAACACCTTCATCTCGTGTTTCAAAATGTCAGGCCTCTTTTGGACGATTAAGTTAATATTCCTGAGAGCAACATATTGTACTTCAGGCTCTGAAGACAAGAGAGTTACTAATGGAGGGGCCAGCTTTTTTGTCAATGTTGAAACAAAATCAGACTCAGCGGCTAACATTTCCATGAATTTCATCAAGACTTTGACGGCAGACAACACAACGGCCGCATTAGCATGGGCCAGTCGAGGTGTTATTCGCTCACATATGCTCTGGGCTTCTCTATCATCTTTAGGGCTGTAGTTTGCTAGAGAGTCTAATATGAATACTTGCCCCCATTCAGTACATTCATTGAGTGCAGTCAGCAGTTTGTTGATAGTCTGGGCATTCATCTCGATCAAAGGAGAACCACTAGTGCTGGCTTCATTCATTTCTGACAGTGCCGCAACAGCATTGGCAACCTGAAATCATATATATTTTATTAGCCTCATATCCAACTCTTATTTTAAATTAAAAAAAGCCTCGCTATCACTGGTTCCAATTCTGAGTATGGTAGTACTAGCAACAAAACAGCTCATTTTAAACAATGGTCACTCAGAAACTACCGGGTGTCCACAAAGTCTTGGTCTGATTTAATAGCTTTGCTGTACGAAAACCATTAGAGCCACACTTAACTTGTATGCCTTGTTTTGAAGGGAATTTATTCAAGTTTTATTTAATGAAATTAGTAACACCTTAACATAGCTGATTGACAACAATACAAGTTATGATTCAATATAATTACAAATCAGAAATGGTGAGTTTACAAGAAAAATTACAGTTTGTTTCGTTGTTTCACGAAACCCAATCTCCTATAGCAGTACAACGACTATCCATTTAAGTGGGAAGGTTAACAGACACATTAATTGTAGAATTTTGGGGAGTTAAAATCTCAGGACCGTGATTAAAAATGAAAGGGCCAGTCCAAAACTAAATCTTTGGTGCGGTGTAATGCATGATGGAATCATTGGATAATTTTTCTTTGCGGAAGAAAATGTAAATGGGTTTGTTTACTTGGTTATGTTAGAGTTGTATGTAAATAAACTCAATAACCTCAATTATAAGAACTACAACTTATGATAATTATTCAGCAAGACAGCGGCGCTCCGCCTAATTGGGCTAAATGTGTGAGGGATTTTTTAAATCTTCACTTCCCCGGTCGCTGTATCGGTCGTGATGGCCCGACCAAATGGCCACCTCGTTCCCCCGATGTAACCCACATGGGTTTTTTTTGTGGGTATTTGTCAAGGACACTGTCTATTCTTCCCCGGTTCATAATTTACACACACTTGCGGGAGAGATTCAGGAATTCTGTGGTGTCTGTAACCCAGGATATGCTGACTAAAACCTGGGACAGTCTGAAAAGACGGATAGAATATCTCAAGGCCACTGTAGGTGCACACGTAGAGTTGTGTTACATTTGTACATAGTTATAAAATCTTAAGAAGTTGCCTGTTATATCTGTAAATAAATCTTTATCCTACTATCACTCGTTTTCATACTATGCGGTTTCTTTATCAGACCAAGACTTTCCGAGCCTTGCTAGGTATAGGTTTATAGGGTTAGCTGCTATGTAAGAATGTGCAATAAACCGAAAATTTAGATAAACATATATGATCTTGAGTTAAAGTGCCACTCCTACTGTATTTTTCTCCCGGGTCTAGTCATTGAAACACGTTCATTTTTCACGATGACCTATGACAGCAGATGAAAAATACAAAATAAACTAAATCATATCATGGCGGTTATATTTGGTGACTTGGTGACAGACAATTTTTTGCTTTTCTGCTATTGCTTCTAAAGAAATTAAGATCTTGCTCATTCTATGGGATTTAGCATAATAGTTAGTAATAAGAGTAGAAATATTTTGTCTAGCCTAATTAGGTACACATTTCTTTCTTCTTCTGTAGTCTAGGAGTTTTTCAGATCTAAAACTCCATATAAATCTAGAGCTAAGATTTTTATTTCCCAAATTATTTTTTTCAGAAAAATTCAAATTTCTTTTCAGTACCGGTACTTAACTTCCAATAAATTTTAAAGCCACAAAACCTTCTACTCCTAAAATTCCAACCAAATTCTTCCCCTAGTTTTTGCCAATTTCCAATATACTGAATAAGCTATTACCTTAGGTCTCATGGTAAGACCTAGTTCCGGGACAAATTTTCTTTTTTGTTTTGATGTTTCCAGAGGCCAAAAACAATATTCGTTCAAATTCATATATCCTATATGACAGGGATACGAGTAACTTTTGTGCGTACAATGATTTTAAACACGGCTCTTCTGAAATTGTTAGAACTATCTTAGTTTATAGCGGTTTTAGTCTAAAAACAATATTATTGCTAGGCTCTTTTCTGGGAAAATTAGATTTTTGTTAAAAACTTTAAATGTCAATCATCAATATTCTACATCGTAAATCAACACAGCCGTTCTTCCTCAAACTTTAGTAGATAGATATAATAAAAAAAAGCTAATTTATTGTAAAATTGATATTTATACTTTTTATACAAGATTTATTTTCACATAAACTACACATTTCACCAACTATGTTTTAACAATTAGTTAGTGCTGTGTTGCCATAAAGAAAACAACACTTAAAAAGTTTTATTGTCAATTGTAACCACTGTATTTAACGAATAAATAAGAGATCTTGTTGATAAATAATAGATATATTTAGAACACAAAATAGTGTAAAACAGTAACAATATCATATAGGCCTATACATATTATATATATATAGGCCCAGTGCTAGATTTTCGGAGGAACTCGGCAGAACAGAGTTCCGAACCTCTCTTTCGGAAGGATAAAAATATTAAAAATATCAGAAACCCATGGTTAGGCACAAGAAGAGAACTTATGTTCGAATAAACCAAGAAAATGTAAAGTATTAACTGGCACAGGTAAGTTGACAAACGGTAATGACAGTTCTAACCTGAAGGTTGTACTCTCAGTCGCCACGTACAAGATGTACCAAACGTAAATCTTCTTGGTTTTGCAATTGATCCAAAACTTGCTTGGGATAAAACACATCCAATCAGTTGGAAAAAGACTGTCCAGGGTAGTCCATCTGCTTCGGAAGTTGACTAGGCTTGTCAGTAAACCTTATTTGATTATAGTGTACCATGCTCTGTTCCATAGTATTTTAAGCTATGGTCTCCTTCTCTGGGGCCATGCACCATCATGTCTTGAAATTCTCAAATTGCAGAAGAAAGCAGTACGTATTTTAACTTCTAGTAAAAGAAATGACCATTGCAAACCTCTGTTTGTCAGCACCGGTATTTTAACTATTGTCAGTCATTACATTTTTTTGTCAGCCGACCATGTGAAGGCAAACCTACATAAATTCCCTACAAGAAATACTGTTCATAGCCATGGTACAAGACATCGCTCCGACCTGGACATACCGTTCTGCCGGCTGTCTAAAACCAAAAACTCTTTCCCAACGCTTGCCATGAAGATTTACAACCACTTGCCTACGTCAATCAAGAACCAAGGGGAAACGGCCTTTCGTACAGCCCTGAAAAACTTGTTGAGGGAGAAACCATACTACAGCCTACAAGACTTTTTTAATGAAAAACTCTTAAGTCAATAAGCCTGCGGCAAAATCATCCACCGCCAAAGTACTTTTAAATACAGTTCATACTTCAATCTATGGAACTTTTATGTATATAGTGTAAATAGAAAAAAGAAGAAAATTGACGCAACCTATCCGGCTTTGCTGGTCTCGGTCAAGGAGGAGGTAATTAAAGGTAATTAAAGGCAGTGAAAAGGAAAGGACTAAATTTGTTTTTGTTCTCAGACTTCAACTTTCGGTTGAAAAGGCCGATGTCGTAAACCATCTTACATCCTTCAAAAGTGGTGATTATTTTGTTGAAAATTTGGTTACCAAGTATCTAAACTATAGCTCTTTCAAAGTTGGTGTTCCAGAATTGCTATGGGACAGCATTTTTTGTGAGGACTTTTGGCCAGAAAAAAACTTTTATTAGTGAATTCAAACTACCAAGGCGCAATTTAAACTATCAACCGAGGGCAGAGACGGGGGCAAACATAGCCTAAGCCCAGTAAATGATAACCTTAATGTCTTGTTTCTTAATGTGGTTACATTCCAAGGAAAAAATCATAGGCCTACATGCTGTGAGTAATCAGTATGACTTACTCTGCTATAATGAGCATTGGTTGAACCCAAACGAGGCAGGTTATATTATCGTTGAGGGTTATAAGCTTTTGTCAACATTTTGTTGCAAAACCCATATAAAAGGTGGTGTCCCAATATTTGCCAATAATAGCAAGCCTACTAGGCCTACCTTTCAAGCGTTGGACAATGAATTTTTTTGTCATGAATTAACCCTCCGAGTGTCCCTTGTTTTGGCCTAAATGTCTGCCTATTTATTGCTCATTTGCAAGGTTTTATTAAAACGGATCTGAGAAGCTTGAAAACAATGTTAATTATACTGTTCTATATACCATTTTGTTTGGAAAATCATGGGCTTCAATATTATACATAAAACATAAGGAACATTTATTTAAACAACATTTTTTAGGTAAAAAAAAATATTTTGGAAAATTTTTAAAAGAAAAATAAGTTCGCGCTCAATGAAATTGTATAAATTATAGGCCTATAAATATTTGAAAATAACCACTTTGTTCTAAATTTTATGAGGATTACAAATATATAATAATATAAGGAAGTAGATTTGCAAATAAATAAGTTATGGGCAAAAAACAGATTTCAGTACATAGCGTTTAGCTAAGAATGCATAGCCTAACCATAGCTAGGAATCTGGCTGATAATTTACATCAATATCACTACCTACTTCTTCAGGATCATCAACCAGCCCTTCAAAATCACTTAAATCTTCTTATAATGCACCACGTATATCACTACTTTTGATTTTTAACACTAAAACAATGATAAACGTAATAAAACACATAAGTCATCGGTCCGAGGTTAACCAAGCTGTTTACAAATACGCACGTCAGCTGTCTGCTACAATATTTTCGGAACTGAAATAAATAGCGCTTAGAGACAGACCTCCGGAAAAAGCTCTGAATCTGTCAAATAAAACGATACCTAACTCGATCCAGTTCAATCCGATTTTGTCAGTCATAGAGCCTTCGCCGTAAACAGTGTTTGTGAGTCGCTGCAGCGACACAAAACACTACACAAAGTGTGTTATGTGTCGCTGCAGCGACAAATAACACTTGGAGGGTTAAGCTTTGAATGTGTGGGAATAGTTTTAGATAATCATAATTAATTTTATATATCATTCTCCTGCTGAACACATTTTTCTGAATAATCTGGAGCTGCTACTGATCCACCTGAGCAAATTGAAGATGATGGTGGTGATGTAATCTCAAAATTCAATGTTATCCGAGATCAACTTAATGTTAGAAGATTACTTAACCTACTCAGGCAATTTGATTG